CCTTGTTCAAAGTCACAGAACAATGACATGACAGTGCTGGGACCTATAGTTAAACCATCCACGGGCCGGCCTGGTGATGCACTGCTACAGTGCGCCGCTTGAGAGTGCAGCGGCGCTCCCGCCGAGGGTTCGGATCCCACATACAGACCGGCCGCTCACTGGCTGAGCGAGGTGCGGGAGCAACACCGAGGGTTGCGATCCCGTTGCCGGTCACAAAAAAAGACAAAAAGGGGAAGAAAAAAAAAAAAAACCACCCAACAACAAGTCCAATGCTCATGTGCACCAGCTGCCCACAATTATCATTTCATGTATGTTATGTGCATTTTTATATACATTTTAATCACTAAGATGAAAGAGGGGAGGGAATCATCTTATTTAAGCATTTCTAGTGCTGGTATTTTTTCTGGGAGGGGGTTTGGAGGGTAGTCAGGGTGGACCCCAGAGTGGACATCAGATACACATAATTAATCATTAAGTCAAAACCTTCTGTTCATGACACCTGGGCTTTCCCAACACCCAAGGAGACCATCACAACCAGGCAGCCACAAGCACCTGCCATACCTTGACACTGCTGAATTCTGGCCACTCTTGCTTCAGCTTTCCGCCTCTCTTCATCAGACTCACTTGTCCTTCCTCCTTCTTCTTCTGGGCAACTTTAAAAGACAACAGTCAAGAGACACAAGTGAAACCAAATCCAAGTATCTTTAGGTTCATTAGAAAAACATGGGAATTTGGCATAGAATTATTCATAAAGGAGAAAAATTCAGCATAAAGAGAATTCATCATGCTTCCTGGCCAAGAGATTTGGTTTTGTGGCGTATACAAAGGATCTTGCATAATGTAACACCGCTCTCAAAGTCAGCAGTACAGGACGTTCCAGCACACACACATGCGCACACACCCCACAATAGCAACAGTGGCAGCAGGTATAGCTAAAATAGTAGTTCTTGCTTTTTACTACATTTAGGCACTTCTATTCTTAATGGGGGTAAAGTAGAGGGGTTGGAGGGGATGGAGGTGGGGTGCCAGATGGGGTGGGTTGCAGAGGAGGTGGTGGAATTGTATATAACTTCAAGATCGAACTAATCAAATTACCATTAAGAATTATCACCCAAGCTTCAGGCCCCAATTTAGAAAAACTGTCCTTGCAGCACAAGTAATGAGAAATAAATTGACTTAGAACACTTAGATCCACCAACCTAGAAATGTTTATTGAATGATTCCTCAGTACTAAGCACACAGAGAAACATAAAACATAGTTCTTGCCCTCAAGGAGCTTCCAATCTAACAAAACACACACAAATATACATTAAAAAAAAGATAATAGCTACAAGGCAGTCTATGATGAGCACCAAAATAAATGCTTTAGAGAGCAGGTATTAAAGAATTTCAGGCAAGGAAGAGAGTACTCAGACTGAAGAAGTCCTCACTCACCAGGGAAGGGAGGCAGGGGCTGCACCAAAACCCACAGAGGGAGGCGAGGGCATTACATGCACGGAGGTGTGGACAAAGTTGCACACAGGGGGCTATCGCAGGCAGGTGCAGGGGGCAGGGAGCAGACCGTTCTGGCAGAAGCCAAGTGTTCATGCAGACAGACATGGTTAGAATATTTTCCCCAATTGAACAAGCCCATTCCATAGATTATGGACAGAAGGAAATGTTACCTTTCGACTGCCTGCTGGATCCATCTCATCCAGTTATTTCGTTCTTCCTTGGAATTGGTGTGAATTTCATACATCTCAGGGCCAGCGGATGAAGCGCTGATCAGAAACATTCCTCTCTCCTCATTAGCAACTTCTCTAGCAATAAGCTTCTGAAGAGAAATAACTGATGGCTTCTGATCCTACATAAAATAGGAAGATGTGCTGATGAACCAGCATCCGACCTGAGGTAAGCGTCACACACAAGACATGAGTTAAAGGCAGCAACCATACTGGGTCAACCTTCTCTCACGTCCTAGTTGGTAAGATCTCCAACAGAGAGGGTATGGAGAAGGGAGGGTGGAAAAAGACGATTTAGGGGAATGTTTGTCCTTAAGAATTGGTGCTTTAAAGGGACAACTTTTAAAAAGACAGAACAATCAGAGAGATAAGGGAAAAAAATACCAAAATGCCATAATCAAAGGAGAGGGATTTTTCTAGTAGAGTATGAGATAGGAAGCACTATATCAAATATCACAGAGAGATTGAGAAAAATGGAGGACCGACAGAGTCCATTGGATAGGGCAGTTAATAGTAGCACCATTCTAATAAGGTGATGGAAACAGAACCCCAGAAACCAGAGGGGTGGCCTGTAAAAATGAAAGGTAAGAACAGGAGGTAAGACCTTAGATTCCCAGGGAATAACCGACCTCTTCTGCTACTGTTGTGTGGATCTCAGCCACAGAACATCTACAGATCTACTCTAAACACTTCTCCTCACCAGCCAGGTGAGGCCTTGGTGTGCAGCATGGGTCTAATGCATTCATCTTCGTATGCCCAGCCCATTGCCTTGTATAGAGTAGGCACTCAATAAATGTCCATAGAACTAGTTTTATGTAATTCCACCAAAGGAGAATAGGAAGAAAGTCTAAAATTTGGCATCTAAGCAATGATTAAACCACCTCTTCTACCAATATTTCCTGTGATCCTCCAGTGCCCCATTCTAAGCACTAGGTATTCAAGTATGAGTAAGACACTGATACTGACTCGGTAGGTAGCTGTAGCTGAAAAAGTGGTCAAAAGAATACCTGCAGGATGAACAGTTCTGGGGGTAAATATGAAGACTCCTCTTTGGTTTGTGGCTTCCACCACTGTTTAGAGTTGGCTGCAGTGTGTGGTTTTGTTTCTCCCTTATGGACTGAGCAACACCTTTATCCAGAATGTGCCTCACTATCCCTTACTGCTGACTCCTCGGTGTTGGCCTGTCTGCTGTCCCAGCATTGTGTAGCTCTAACAATCAGAGAGATAAGGGAAAAAAATACCAAAATGCCATAATCAAAGGAGAGGGATTTTTCTAGTAGAGTATGAGATAGGAAGCACTATATCAAATATCACAGAGAGATTGAGAAAAATGGAGGACCGACAGAGTCCATTGGATAGGGCAGTTAATAGTAGCACCATTCTAATAAGGTGATGGAAACAGAACCCCAGAAACCAGAGGGGTGGCCTGTAAAAATGAAAGGTAAGAACAGGAGGTAAGACCTTAGATTCCCAGGGAATAACCGACCTCTTCTGCTACTGTTGTGTGGATCTCAGCCACAGAACATCTACAGATCTACTCTAAACGCTTCTCCTCACCAGCCAGGTGAGGCCTTGGTGTGCAGCATGGGTCTAATGCATTCATCTTCGTATGCCCAGCCCATTGCCTTGTATAGAGTAGGCACTCAATAAATGTCCATAGAACTAGTTTTATGTAATTCCACCAAAGGAGAATAGGAAGAAAGTCTAAAATTTGGCATCTAAGCAATGATTAAACCACCTCTTCTACCAATATTTCCTGTGATCCTCCAGTGCCCCATTCTAAGCACTAGGTATTCAAGTATGAGTAAGACACTGATACTGACTCGGTAGGTAGCTGTAGCTGAAAAAGTGGTCAAAAGAATACCTGCAGGATGAACAGTTCTGGGGGTAAATATGAAGACTCCTCTTTGGTTTGTGGCTTCCACCACTGTTTAGAGTTGGCTGCAGTGTGTGGTTTTGTTTCTCCCTTATGGACTGAGCAACACCTTTATCCAGAATGTGCCTCACTATCCCTTACTGCTGACTCCTCGGTGTTGGCCTGTCTGCTGTCCCAGCATTGTGTAGCTCTACCACATCTGAAATTGTGTACAAGGGTGTACCCAGAGTACCTTTTCACCCGACTCTTAGAGTAGCATGAGAAAAAACTATCACAATGGGCAAAACCACTTGTCTATCCAGTCCCATGCTCTGCATCAGAAAATGGAAGCAAAAGCCACTTTGTGGCAGTTTTTGAACATTGCCCTCTCTATTAGGGATATGCTCTGAGCTCTGTTAACCATTACTCCATTATGGACCTATTCTCCAAGACCTGACAGGTTTTCCTTGATTCAATGTACAGTCATAGCTTCCTCAGCTTACAAGTTAAACGGCTTCTGTATATAAAAAGGCAGAGTAGGTTTGAAGTGCTTAAGACATCAGCAAGAGTGAAATTATTTGAACTAGGTGGCTAGTGTTGCAGGGGTGAGGAGGTGGCTGGGTAAGATCTTTTACAAGCAAAGAACAGATAAATGAGTAGAAAGTAGTGTGAATTAAATCACCGTCAGACCAGGCGGCATCAGGGACATGTCCATCATTATTCATACTAATTACACACAAGCACTAGAGAGGAACTAGAATTCAAATTAAATCACCAGGAATGGAAGTTACATGTCTGCTTTGGAGACAGATGTCAGGCACTGGTGATGCAAAGGCCTAACCCAGCCTACAGAGATGTGTTTGTTTGTGTCGCTGCATTTAAAAAACAAATTTTTTGAATAAGTTGTCAACATTTCAAAATGGGGGAATTACACCTTTTTTAAAAACTCTAGATTTCTGGGTTCTTGGGAAATGCAGAAGATTAGCAGTCTGGGCCCATATCCTTATTTATTTATTTATTATTTATTTTATTTTATTTTATTTTATTTTTTTCAAAAGATGACCGGTAAGGGGATCTGAACCCTTGACCTGGTGTTGTCAGTACCACACTCTCCCAAGTGAGCCACAGGCCAGCTTTCAAAAGATGACCGGTAAGGAGATCTGAACCCTTGACCTGGTGTTGTCAGTACCACACTCTCCCAAGTGAGCCACAGGCCAGCCCTCCAAATCCTCATTTAAAAACACTGGGTATAGCTGAGTAATCTCTGCCCTCTTGGAGACTGAGCATGTACTCACTTGCAAGCTCACTACAGTCCCCACCACTCTCTACTGTCTCCTTGGTACTGACCCAGTTCACATTCACTCATCTACATTTCCTGCTCAATCCCTACAGTCATTTGAAGACCTCTGATGTGAAGGAAGAGAAAAAGAGCTGCTATCCTAAGCCCTATTGTTACACCATATCCATTTTGTGCTAATTCTACTAGCAAGTGGTTCCACTGTGATAAAAAGATCTTTCCTACTTTGATCTTGAACTTGCAGATTTACATGTTCACTACGTCTTCTTTATTATTTTTTCATTTTGAAATTACCTTCTCTGATATTGTAGAGATTCCTCCTAGAGTCAGTTTTCCAGGACTCAGTGAACACCTCTACATTTTCCTATAAATTTTGTAGGTTTGGGTCCTACCCCCATTTCCAGCTAAGTCTTCTTTAAAAAAAACAAAACAAAACTCTCTTGTAAGGATGTTATTCCATCTTCTTGCTACTTTCAGCTGCTTCTCTCTACTTCCAAATTCATCATGTCTTCTGTAAGATGTAGCAAGATAAACATCTACTAAAGAAGTTTCTTCTAAAGGCACATGGAGTGGAGAATCTCACCTGTGGGTATTAGCATGAGGATAACTTTCTAAAATACTAGGGTAGGAACTAGGAAATCCAGATATTTGTTTACCCTTAGTTAATCCTTCAATTCTCCACAATGTTAACTATAAGATATCTATGACACATGGGCTGTCGTCAGATAGGTATAACTAAAAAGTGTGTTAACAGTAGGGTGAACTTGATTCTTTAAGAATAAAATAAAGCTTTCTCTTTTGCTCCTTGATATCACCAAGGTCTTGGCTGGCCTTATGATTGCAACTACATGTCAGACTAACATCTTCAAGAAACAGTATGAGCAACACTATACTGCTGTCCACAGCAAAACACATTCTACCAAGAAGAGCTGAGCTGTGGCTGCCTCTGTTCTGGCATTTTGTGGATTGCATTCCTTACATCCTATTCAATGATGAATGTGATCTGTGGGTTGCACAGACAACTCTCCCAGAGGTCATATGAGAGAAGAGGAACAGATCCATATTTCATGGCATACTGTAAGTTCAGCATCATGGCTTGATCTGAATCTATATGCTTATGTTGTTCAAAAAGACAAGACACTTGTCTTTATGCTGTGTGTAATTCTTGATCAACCAGCAGGTCATTTGGCCTGTAATACCACCAGGAAGCAGGATTTGCTTCTCTTTCAGGTCTTTGGTTTTGAAGAAATCTTTGCTTCTGTAAGGATGTGGTGTAAATTTGTCTTCTCTTCCAGCATGGCCCTTACTATCCTACAGGTTACACAAAATGGTCCTCACCTTCCCATTTACTCTCTCTATGTTCTTTCAGAGCATCCTCAATAACGACATAGAGAGACTTCTGGGCAAATCAGTAGGTGTCATGAAATTTGCAACAGATACATTCCTATGGATCAGGGACATGGGGACTTGTTTAAGGCTTCTTGTTATCCTTTATACAACTCAACATCAGTATGCCAAGGACAGGTAATATGCCAAATGAGAGGAAGAAGTCTCTCGGGCCAACCTGATGAGCACAAGCAGGCAGGTGAGGTACTGCTCCAGCCCCTTCCCCCAGAATCCCATCACTGTGCAGACATGCTTCTTTGCTTTCTCTGAACAGCATAACAGGAATTTTACTGAGCTTTGAATTTGCCAAAACCAGTTGGCATTGATGATATCTGCTAAGGGTACCTGAATTTCCTATGATTTAATGGATGATAAACACCAGTATTTTAGAGACCACTTTATACTGCCCACATTGGTAACGGGTCTTGGATTCTTTTCTCTAGCAGGTCTTGATGCTCCACGATGCTAACAAGGAGGCCATTGATGATATCTTCCTTCCCTAAATCATTTTGGACCGTACAGATGCTATGTAAGGAATGTTATCAAACACTGGTTTTACCACTAGTCTAAGTAGGTGCGCCACTTTATACTGCCCACATTGGTAACGGGTCTTGGATTCTTTTCTCTAGCAGGTCTTGATGCTCCACGATGCTAACAAGGAGGTCACTGATGATATCTTCCTTCCCTAAATCATTTTGGACTGTACAGATGCTATGTAAGGAATGTTATCAAACACTGGTTTTACCACTAGTCTAAGTAGGTGCTGCCAATGAGATTAATCTAACACACTAAAAGATAAGTGTTACATGAATTAGTAGCCATTACAACACAAATAAGAAAGAATCTTCTTTAAAATTTGGCTACCAGGATGGTGTTCTCTTGTTTGGCAGAAGGAACATCATGACAGTCACTTTGGGGTTAACAAGTGGTATCACAAGGGCACCATTCAATGGGCATGGAGAGGACAAGGTGCTGGAAGTGACCACTGTGCCTAGCATTGACATTTTAGTTGCTGGATCTGAGGGAAGGAAGTAGGTGTGAGGATGGAGTTTGGAGGAAAGACCAAGACAGCCAGATGGCAAGGGGGCACTTGGGCAGTGCCTATTCACTAACCAGTACTGAAGTACTTCAGTGTTTTTACAATTGGTTATTAAACTGCTGAACCAGCTGACTACCAGCCCTGTGATAAATCAACACTTATTGTGTTAATTCAACCCAATTAAATGCTCATTATGGAATGCTGCAATCACTAATAAAAATGGGAATATAACAGGGGCATATTCTTGCTAATAATCATTTTATTTCACTAGGAATCTCAGACATTTTTCAAGGAAATGTGGGCTTAAACTGATTAAAATATGCATCACATGGTCATATACTTACAACAGCTGCAAAGATGTATTTCTGGTCTTTTTCTTGTAAAAAGAGCAGCACATCAGTTAGAAGGAGAGCTAGGATATCTTCAAAGAAAAAAACATTATTAATATTAACAATGCAAACCACAGTACAAATGCCCTTATTAAATATTTTGATTTCATCCCTGAATTTAAATAATTCAATAAAAATAAAAAGACTAAGATTTAGTCTGATTATAAAACTCTTTAAAAACATCTCTATTACAAAAGCCAAAATATATTCTATAGATAACTTAGTAGAAAGCTGTGTTTAAGTGTGCATGCTTGTGTGTCTAAACATAGGTACAGGCAAATCTCCAGCAAAATTTAGTTTTGTAGCTTTCAAAAATATCCAATAAAATAGGAAGTTATAATAGAATGGAGCAAGCCCTTACTTTTAAGGGGGGAAAAGTGCTTAAGAGAAAACGTTAAGAGGGCAGCTTCTGCCTGGACTTATGTATGCAAACGTGCCATGTTGTTTCATCTAGACCTGAGTGAGGTTTAAAATTCCATGCTTCCCTTACAAATTGTTAACAAGAACTCACTTCACTACAACCACTAAACATTCTAACATGAGGTTTCCAAATCACTGATTCTAATAAATGGATAAAGACAATAGGATCTACAGATTGTGGTTAATAATTTCCCCATACGACATTGCAAGTTGCGGATCAACAACTCTTACATCAGACATTGGCTGCAACCTCTGTCAAAAGATGATCATCCTCTAATGTGTAATAACCTTTGAGTAACTAGAATTTAACTACCTCACGCTCTCATCATCAGGAAGTTGTTAAGATTACGAGTTAGAAACAAGGAGACTATGCCCGTGGTTCTTAGCTCTCACCTGGGGATCTTTTAAGCATCCCTATGCTTGGGCTTCATCCCCAGACCAATAAAATCACAATCTGTGGAAGGAGGCATGAGCATCAGTAGTTTTCTTATGTTCCAGAGGTGATTCTATTGTGTGGCCAGGGTGAGAAGGCCTGGATCAGGCAATGTGCTAATTACAGATTCAGTCCTTAAGAAATGGAATAAACTGCTCTAGACTCTAGCCAAAATAAGAGTTGAATTAATGTCTGTGAGCAAACAGTTAGCACTAAGTGCACCAGTGCTGGCATGTATGTAGACACACTGCATTACTCAATAACAAAGATGACACAGAGTTCTTTTTACTCCTCCCTTCGTTGGTCTGACAGCCACAGACTGGCTTGGCACACAACAGAGCCTAGGTGTGCAAGTGTACTGCCTTGCTTTCAACACACCATATTTGCCAGAATAATATTTCCATGCCAATAAGGATTAGCAGACCTCTCAGTTCCTTTGATTTCAGACATCCAAATTTACAAATTCATAAAATATATATATATGAATCTTTTTGCATGGGGCAGCAAACTCTAACCAAAGATCTGTATGTCTGGCCCCATTTGCCTAAAGAAGTTCACAGCTCCATCTTTCAACTGACCTAGGATTTATGTGTGTGTGCCTGTAATTCTGAGGTTTTTTTTTTCTTTTGGACATCTGTCCTCTGCTGAATGAATAATGTGTATGAAAGGGAGAGAAGTTGGTCCCACGGTACCTTTGAAACGCCCCGTAGCAGTTTTCCAGTAAACAAGGCCATCGTGTAACAGTGTCCTTTCTTTACTTATCAGTGCCTGCTTCCGAAACACATGGCCATTTTTGAGCTTTGTGTATGTTTTGTTTTCAATCTTATTTAGGATCTCGAGCCATTTTTGGTTTTTCTCATATTCATTAACTTTTAAATCCACTGCTGCAATCATGTCTTTAATTAAGCAAAGAGCTTTGCATAAGTCTTTATGTTCTTCAGTTCTTTCTGCAGGGGAAAAAGAAAGAACATTATAAAATATGCCAGAGTGCTAAGGAAGAAAATTTTTTCTTTAGTTTTTCAATATAGATAAATGTATCATCTAAATAACAAAAATCCCATAAGAAAAATGTTGGGTTAAATTCAAATACTATACTGTCACTCTGTACCCTCCCCCCCCCCCCAAAAAAAATACTGATTATAAAAGATTTGCATTATTAAATGTGCTTCAGCTGACGAGAAGATGTGTGAGTTGTAAGAATGGATCTGACTTTCCCCCCAGTGCGGGGAATGTGTTATATGCTAACTTAGGCCTTCCTTCCACCTTCCCAGGCACAGGTCATCAAGTAATCCCCACACCAAGATTCTAGAACTTAACCCAACTGTGGGGCCAAGCCACACAAGTGTCCTCTCCGAAATGGAGCCAAAGGGTGACTTGAATTGGCCCCAGATCCATCTGCCTTCCTGGATCCCTTCCTCCAAAAAAAATAATATCCAAAATTACAGTTTACAATTGTGTTAGCATAAATGTGAATACATTAACATTATAAATAAAACATTTTCTTCCACCTAAAATTTTATTTTTTTCTTCTGATCGTAAAAGAAATTAAAATATTTTCTTGGGACCAAGGCACTATGCTTAATGGATAGGTTGGCCACAGCATAATAATCATAGATTCCAGTTTTCATTCTTTTAAAAACTGGCCACCTGCTCTTATCTCTAGATTATCTCAAGAAAATACTCTGGAGGAGCTTCTGGAACAGCCTCCTGAAACTCCAAATGAAAATGAATTTATCTATTTTTCCCATTTGATGATAAAGACACCTACTTGATATTTACTTAAGCATCTACAACTGAAAGGAAAAGTTTCAGGAAGTCAGAAGGTGCTAGAAGGAGAGAAGAAAAACTGACAGAGAAACGAAAGGTTCTCTAGAACCTAGAGCAGCAGAAATAAACACTTAGAAACAGCAGTCAAGTGGAACGGAGTATGCCCTCCAAATGGTCTAAACAGGTCCTAAATGTTGTAAATAAATACATGAGGGTTTTATCAGAAAACCTCAAGGAGCAGATCCTGACACCCATTTTTAACAAAAAAGTCTTTCTCACTGTCTTCAAAGAATAGGCTACTCCTCACTACTTTAATATACCTTATCTCCACTAAGCTTCTCCCTGCCAAAAAAAAAAAGTTGTTCTTTCTAAAGAGCATATTTTATAAATAGGAAAGCTGAGTAGAGAAAAATCAAAGTTGAATTACAAAGTGAATTAGGGTAAGGATAGAAAAGACTCAAAGTCTTTTGACCTTTAGGGACAAATTACTGTCCTATAATGCCTTGCTACTCAAAGTGCAGCAGCACCAGCCACACCTGGGAGTCTTGTGAGACATGCTTACCTTGGCCTCCACCCCAGACCCGCTGACTCAGAATCCACATGTAAACAAGATCCCCAGGTGAAGGGCATGACTAATTAAGTTGGAGGAGCACTGCCACTACAGAGTCATGTGAACCAGTGTCCTCAGAAGCCCAGGGAAGGTCTGGCCATTGGGAAGGTCTGGCCGAAGGAGGAGGCATCCATTCAGCCAACCTGCGACTGTGCCTGAGGAGCCATAGTCATACTTACAGTTTCTGACACACAGTAGGCCATCGTTGTTATTTATTCCACCAGGAATTGGACATGGGATGACTCTTGGAGGAGCACTGCTGACTAACACAATCTGACAGATTTTAGTCCTTGAGGTATTGTAGTAAACTCAAGAAAGAGAATATAAAATAATACAAACCGAAAAGCCTTAATTTCGTTTTCGTTCTTTTGCTGAGAACAAAGTTTATGAGGCTTTTCTCTTTATATTATATTCTCTTATACATTAAAATGCAGCGAGTAATAAAAATGGGACATAAGAAATAAATGCTACCATTCCTGCCTGTACTGCCCGAATTTAGTTCTAAATGTGGCTGAAAAAATGAAAAGCATAAATTATGCATGTCTACTCACCTAGATACTGACCTCTACTCCCACCCCCCCACCCCCACCCCCCAAAATGTTAGAAGTTGAGTTTGGTAGAGTGGGCATTTAAGACCTCATTGTCATTTTAATTATCTGTAAGTCAATTGACAATAATAAAGGCAATAAAAACAGCTCCCACCTAATGAGCACCTTGTTTACACCATGCTCTGCACTGCGCACTTTCTGAGACAACCTTATTCCATAAGATTAGAATCACTATTCTCATTTTGTAGTGGAGAAAACTGAAGCTCAGTTAATTAACTTACTCAACTAATGAGTGGCAGAGCCAGGTATATACAGTGGCAATGCAAGTTTACACAATTCTAAATCCAAGTCCTTGTTAATATAACACACTAACACCCTAATAATAATTTTTACTCAAGATCAATAAGCTAGCCTGAGGATCAGGCATTTTTATTTATTTTTTCATTGCACTGATACGTATTTATTAACTGATAGCCTATTCTGTACCAGCCAGTGAAGAACCAGCTGTGCCCCAGGCAAGGAGATCCCACAAGGGGTTTACAGTCCAGCCATGTGCATTAATAGCTTCTTAAAAGATGCCCAAATGTCACTCCCTAGAACTTGATGAATTGACAGGGTCAGTAATATCTCCTTCACACAAACATCCTTAATCTAATAACTCATTGGTTGGGAGAGGTGGCATTTGGTGACAGAAGCAACCAACGGCATCATTTCACCAGACTGCTGTGAGGTAACAGAAGGTGAGAAAGAGGAGGAAGTAAGAAGGCCCACCTATGGGGAAACATACAGGAGAAAGGCAGGGTCAGAGAATGAAGAAGGCTGCTTTGATTGGGCTACTTGTAGGCACTCAGACTATTAACTAACCTGCATTAGGAAAGATAATTTCTCAAAATGAATCCAAATTCTAAGGCTTTTACAGTTTCCCCAAAATGAAAATAGAATCAGAGGCCACAAGCACTTATACCTACTTAGGATACCTCAGCTGTGTTTAAAACCAAAAAGAGAGGCAAATGTTTGTCCCAGAAATCACCACTCACCCTTTGTGTACTGCAGGATCCTTTCCACCAAGACAGGGTATTTTGTGATACGCTGAGTGACCAGCAGAATGCATTCTGGAATTCCTCGGCGTCGAACCAAAAGATTACTATTTCGGAGCTTAAAAAGATATATATACATATATATATATATATATATTTTTTTTATATACATATATACACAAATTCTAACCTGTATTTAACTTTTACATATGAATTTAATAATGCAAAGAATCTGCAGAGGTACAATTCTGTACGGACTTATAATATTCATTGTTATTAATTAAAACTTGATGCACTGTCATTAATTTAAATTGCACACTTTGTCATTAATTTGAATACCTCAACTCTCCAAGATTTCAAGAAGTTTCAATCTACTCTGATATATTTGTAGTTAATTCCAAAAGAAAGCAAGCTCCAATTCTTCTACGTGCCAAGATTCATAAACAGCAAGTTTTTGAGAAATAATCAGAAATCAGAGTTGGACTGTGAACATGAGATTGCAGTTTACTATTTGTTTTTCTAATAGGTCTTCTTTGGCATAGTTACTTCAAATCAGAGCAACTTTTTTCTAAATATCTCAAAGTACTTTTCCTTAAAAGTTTTCAAGTCCTCAACACACATGTACATTAAAAAAAAAAAAAGGAGGAGAATCTGGTAGCATTTTTAAAATAGCAGGTAAAAATTTAGAATCCAGGAAACTTTACAGGACAAATTTCTTCAACAGATGAACTGGAGGAAGGGGAAAAAGGAGGGAGAGCATTCAAATTAAGAAATTTAAGAGATATAACCACCAAATACAATATATGAATCTTGGTCAGATATTGATTTAAGCAATCCACTTTTTTGAGATAATTAGTGAAATTTGAAGATATCAAAGAATTATTGCTAATTTATTTAGTGTAATAATTTTAATTTTTAATTTATTAATTTAAAATTTTTAAATTTGAGTGTAATACTTTTTAAAATATGCTGTTTAGAGGTATATATTACAGATGAAATTATATAATGTCATGAATTAGCTTCAAAGTAACACAATGGGGCTGAGGTAAATTCTGTGTTTTTTTTTACTTTGACTTTTCTGATATATAACCTTTCAGGGCATGAAAAAGCTTTCCAGGATATTACAAATATTCTCAGAAGTTTGGGGGGCATGACCTCACAAACAAAAGATACAAAAGAAAATGATTTGGAAGAAATATTTCACTAACACAGAAAAAATGATTTTCCATCTTTGTTACAAACCTACCATTTCCTTCTCCTCTCCCTGAAAAACAGCACCTAAATATAAAACTTGTTTAAATCATGTAAGAAGCAAAGTATGAACTATTTCCTCCTACTGGTTTACCACTTTGTAATAAAGTTTTAAAATACTTGCCTTAATAAAATTCTGAAACTTTTTATTCTGCTGGAGTTCTTTAAAGAGGCTAACAGCTTCTTTGTGATGGCTACAGAATTCTCCATATATCTTCTTCATTTTACTTGCATTTTCTTCTGAAAACTGACAAGAATAAAATTTCAATAATGGTTTATAAATTTAATAAGTTCTTTTTTTTTTTTTTTTTTCCTTTTTGTCTTTTTTCGTCACCGGCAACGGATCGCAACCCTCAGTGTCACGCCCGTACCAGACCGGGACCGGCAATGGGATCGCAACCCTCAGTGTCGCGCCCACACCTCACTCAGCCAGTGAGCGGCCGGTCTGTATGTGGGATCCGAACCCTCGGCGGGAGCGCCACCGCGCTCCCAAGCGGCGCACTGTAGCAGTGCGCCACCGGGCTGGCCCAGTATAAATTAAATAAGTTCTGAACGCAGAAAAGAACATGCAATTTTCATATACTATAAAACATTACTTGCAAATAAAGAATAAACATCATGGAATTTCTAAACACAATCACTTCTCCTCCCCAGACACCGTTTAAATTAAAATAAAAGAAAGTAGTTGAGTGGTAAGGGTCGACCTAAAGTGATTATATTATATTGATTATCAAATAGCCAAATGAAGAATATTTGATGATTTCTATTCCTTTTTCAGTTTTTTACAGCTTTCTCATTTCAATTTGTAGTTTTATTTAGATTGAAAGAAGAGTACGTAGCAACATTTGGGGGCCGTCAGGAAGGTCTGGCCTCCCAAAGAAATTACCAGTTGGCATTTACATTGGCTACTGACCATGTCCATAGATTCTGTCCCCAGCTGAGAATTTGAGTTTTGTCCACACATCACAATTAGGTCAAGTGATAGGCTATCATTAGCCAAGATGAAAGAAAATGCCAATTTATTAACTGATGAAGAGAAGTAGAGATGTGGTTTGGATATTTCAATAAGCCTGACTTCTAGAAAAATCTACATAGGAACCAACTCAGTGCAATGTGTTGAGAATTATTAGCTGGATGATTTGAGTGCCAGTTTTTTAGGTTATGATAGCCCTACGTGCACTTGTCCACACTGAAGATCACTGCAACAGAAACAAGAACACACACACCATCCCTCCCCCCCGAAAAGTGTTTAATATTTACATCACCATCTCTGGTCTTTTTTATCTTTGCTTCCAGTTTTATCGATACTTGAGGCCAATAATGTCTCAAAAGATGATCTTTAAACCACTTAAATTGTTAATTTAATCCTCAGGAAACACCTTTATTACCAAAGTACTGGGAGACCCCCTTGCCACACCCACTATACTGATCAACAACTGGAACACTAAAGCAGACTGAAATCCTTTTCTCTGAATACCAAGCATCCTTTCCCCAAAGGGGCAGTATGTGCTTCATCCAGGAGACCACCATCCCGTGTGAGAGCCACCTTCCCAAACCTTGCTCTCAATTTGTCCACAGAAATTAAATACACAGCCGATAGAGATATGCTATTTTTGTTAATATGAAAGTAACTTGAGAATGAAAATGGTTTAAATGATCAGAATTAAAGAATGGTAAAGTCATGATTATTTGTATCAAGGAAAGATGCAAATAATTTCAAATGACAAAATAAAACTCTTACACTTCATTTTTGAATGCACTGAGGTTCAAGTTCACTCAGACACATTCAGACAGTTTTATTCAAGCTGTCTTGCAAAGTATTTTACACTCGCTTAATGTGGCCCTGTTACTTGGCACCATGTTTCAGGTTAATAATGAGGACAGAACAGGTCAGGACTTTAAAGACAATTTGCAAAGCAGATACCTCTTTGATTAAAAATTGTTATTACCAGTGTGCATTTTTACATTGTTAGACATGTAGGAGTGGCTATTGGGCAATAACTCAAGTTGTGTTTTTATGCATTAAAAATACTTGTATTTATATCATATTTAAGCATATTTATTTTAATGAACTTAACTTCCCCATTTTTAGCAAACAGACCAACAGCTAAACTCCATCACTATATGTGACTGGGTTAAACTGCTTCAAAAAATAACATTTTGGGAGAAGATGGCAGTTTGGCATCTACCTAGGGAAAGCCATACTAAAGTAAGTACAGATGGATCTCCATGCCTTTCCCCAAGCACAGTAGGTGATCATAAAACCTGGCATTCAAGTAAATTCCTGGTGGTGTCTTTTTTCCTAAGTGACCCATTCATTCAATAAATATTTATAGTACCAAGCACTGTTCTAGGTGCTGAAATACGGTAGTTGTCTAATAGACAAGGATCCCTGCCTTACCGGGATTTACAGTCTTGTGATGGCAAATGCTTCCCCAGAAAGTCATAATGTATGTCTCAAAGATAGCATATTTTTAGCTCGTGTTGATGAAAGAGCAGGTTTTGATTGAAATCCCAGTTAGGTCACTTATGAGAAAGTCATTACCTTCTCCATGCCTCAGTTTTTGGAAGAATACATCTACCTCGCAATGGTGTGAAGCTTAAATGAGGTCATACACATAAAAGCACCCTAAAAATGACTGCCATATGGGAGTCCCATGTTATCTAACTTCTCTATTAGCATGTTTTTAATGGAGAACCCCTTCCGAGAGTTCAGAGGGCTGATGCACATTGTCAAAAGCAGGCAGTGGTGGTTTGCTTTTATTAGGAGAGTGGCTCAACCCATTCTTGCTGATGTTTCAAACATCCCAAGCACTTAAAAAGTGCGTTCCTCTAGTGAGCTTTGCTTGTCTTGTCCCCAGGCATGAACTCTAGAGCTTTAATGATAATAGACTTGCCTCACTCCTCCTAAGCTGAGCCAGCATTTGTCTTGGAGACATAAGTGCGACTATCACAGGCCCACTGGGGAAACCATGTTATTAGAGAGCCCATCACATCAAAAAGTCTAAGTAGGATTTTCATAAGGGGATTAATGTATGACCGTAACTCCTGACAGAGGCAGCAATAGGGCCAGGGATGACCCAGCCAGGTCCTGTGACACACAGAGGACTCAGACATTGGTTGGTAAAAGTTCTCAGGCATTAGTCATACAAATCAACATCAAATAAAAGAAAACCAACCAAGCCCATCTGGCAATAATTGTAATGAAATTAATTCCATTTTTCCACAGGCTTTTAACACTATAGAGAGTCTACAAACCTTTAGGTTTTCGAGGTCCTTAAAACTTTCTCACCTGTTGTACCAGAATATCTCCAATTCGGTCGATCACAAAATTTCTGTCGTTGCCAGCACAAGATTCTTGCCTTCGCTCCTTCATGCTATAGAAGAAATGCCTATGGATTTCAAGCAACTCATCTAAACAGGGGAAGATCTTATCCACAGTGCTGTGGTCAAGCTGCAGCTCCTCTTTCATGCCTTTCCTGAAGATCTCAGACATGATGAACAGGGTCTGGATGTGATGCATTTCTGTTTGCATTAGCTCTGAAATATGTGAGCAGAAACATGCTTTATACAAGCTTGAAAAACAAAGTATCCCTACTGACCCAAATTAGCAACTCAGCACTATACGGTACACAAATAAAAAAGAACAGATGTTTACGAATAACAATACTTCTTCCAATATAAAAATCAGCACTGATTTTGACCCAAATTAGCAACTCAGCACTATACGGTACACAAGTAAAAAAGAACAGATGTTTACGAATAACAATACTTCTTCCAATATAAAAATCAGCACTGATTAAATATTTAACTTAAATTCAAAATATTAAGCTACTTTCTTTTTTCCAGATATTAAGGGAGGATATATGTAAGTCAAGTCCAAATAAGAGTCAAATGTACCTGAAACTCTCATAATATAATGAGTTATCATCTTTAGGTACCTTCAGCTAAGAACCAGGCCATTCCTCCCTGAATGTTCTATAAAAGATAACTTGGTTTGCTGGTTTTCTTTATTTCTTTGGTTTTGCATTGAGTAGGAACACAATTAATTTGATGAATTAAATTGAACTAAATATAATAAAGCTCCTCAATGCAGACAACAGTAGGTACTTTCTATTGCAGGATCTGTCACCAAAATTTCACTTTCTCCAGGGGAAAAATGTATCACAGTCAAAAGACACCATCAAGAAAGTGAAAAGACAACCCACAGAATGGGAAAAAATAGTTGCAAATCTTATATCTAATGAGGAACTTGTATCCAGAATATATTTTTTAAAAACTCTTTTAAAAACTCTTACAAGTCCACAATAAAAAAAAAACAATTTAAAAATGGGCGAAGAATTTAAATAGATGTTTCTCCAAAGAGATATTAAAATGGCCAACAAGCACATGAAAAGATGTTCAACATCATTAGTCGTTAGGGAAATGCAAATCAAAACCAAAATGAGACCTCATTTCCCATACACTAGGACAATTATAATAAAAAAATATAGAATGTGGGAGAAATTGGAACCCTCATGCATTGCTGTTAGGAATGTAAAATGGTATAGCACATTTGGAAAACAGTCTGCTAGCTTCTCAGAAGATTAAACATAAAGACCCAAAAAGTGGAAACAACCCAAAATGTTCAACTGATG